TGCTAAAGCTCGCTGCTAGGCTTTCATGAATGCAACTCATAAACGGGATGGGAGCCAACTAGGAGCTCCGAGCTTTCGAAAGCTTCCGTTTATCTATTTCGCTCACATGAGAAACACGCGGCTTGCTGATTCTTGTTTTGTTTAATTTATAGTTTGACATGTAGAAATGTGATGACAAAGTCAACATTAGGCGCAACTGTGAATTTATGTAAAATTATTGTTCTGGTCTTAAGAGTTTTCAATTTACTATTTAGGCCCATTATAATTGAAATGTTTTTAATAAATAACAATTAACATAAAAGTTAATAATTTACAAAAATTTACATATTTAATCAGTGTTTGAAATGCAAGTTTATTTGCTATTAATATAATTGACTCGTAATTTTTTTTTACTTGACTTGTAATTTAAACATTGATCAAGTTTTTATGATAATCCTGCTATTACAAGTATTTTTATATGCTCTTTTTTATTAATTTTTTTCAATTAATAATTATTCAATAATTATCTGTAAGCACAGATTCGAAATGTTTGCATTTTTAAAAGTTATTTTTCATTATTACAAATTATCTTTTATCATGGATGCCTTCGAATTATTAAAAAGAAAACTAATTTGAATTTATAAACAAAAACAAGTCTTCCAGACATTTGTGAATTCTTCAAAGCAAAATAAAAACAATGAGCTACAGCTACTGCAAATAGTAAGAATTTTTTATATAAAATTATTTCTTGAATTTCTGATAGGATGGGGCGGGACACAAAGGTCCAATTAGACTCATAGTCACAAATAACTATTAATTATGTTCTGTAAAATTCTCAATTAATTAATTCTTGTAAAAATATGTTTTTGCAATTTTTGTCATGTTGTCACTTATGCCAAAGGTGGTGTAAAAAGGGACAGACAGGTCGCAAAATTTTCATTCTATAGTATAAAATGAGTTTTGGGGAGTAGTAGTAACAATTTTAAATCGATTTGATGCAGTTTAATTATTAAGTTGAACAACAAAATTAAAAATTATTGTCTAAATATATATTTAACTTAAAACAAAAAACTTTCATCAACTTTACTTCTATCATATATCTTTCTTTGCTGTTTAATTTAACATAATAAGGTTCATTGTTTTTTGAAACACAATTATTACAAATAAGGTAAATGCAGTTTCTGTTAGAAATACAAATTTCATGGGTAGATTTTTACAAATATCACACTGCTTACAAACTTCATCGGATGAATTTATTATCTGAGTCGTAATAACTGCTAATTTAATTTATCTCTTATCAAGTAGCATTTTTTAACTTATTTTATTTTTTTATTTTTTATTTTTTCACTATTTACAACTTTGGTTTAGTTGGTCGTTTTTAACCTCACCACATGTTTTATAGAGGCTATATAAAAAACTGTTGAGCTAGCTTAAAAACTACGACACACCTTATGAAACAATTAAGTAACATATACTAAAATATTATATTCAGATTTTATAAAATAAACAGCCGTGCTAAAAACCAAAAGGACTAACAAAGAAAACAAATTATTTTTAAATTATTTACAATGTGGCCGTATATATCTAGATGGCATTGTCGCCTGATTTAAGACAAAGGCTCGTAACACATCTCTTGATATCTACTTTAAAATAGTGTCAGGAAAAATTCCCAACTTCACTTGTTTTGTGATAATGGTGGTGGATTTTTCACCCATGGTCTTTCAGGCTCCTCTCTACCTGATACTCTATTACTTTTGGAATAGATTTTTTTTTATTTCCAGTATTAATTTACAAGCTACGAATGACATATGGTAAATTGTTTGAGTATAAATAAGTCTGGTATAAGATCATAATAGAAGTGTGGTAATTCTTATATTACTGTTAGTCAAGACGACGTTCATTAATCACTTGAGTTCTAAAGGGGTAGGGCTGATTCGACAAAAAATTACGAAATATCACCTGGAGGAGGGGTTGGTCTTGTATGATATCACATATATTTACTTTTTACCTCAATTTAAAAAAAGTTCAAAATTTTTCAAAAAAAAAAAAAAAAAAAAAAAATGCGATTATTTCTAGATACTAAAAATACTCTTAATGGTTTGTGAGTGAGCCGGAGTAATTTTAAATATCACTACGTATCACTAAGAGGGAAAGGGGGTCCAAAAATGCTTAGAAATTGCTTACGTGATTAATGGACACCGCCTGTAATAATTTAAATATATTTATGCTTATGATACCATATTTATCCTATTACTACTTCCTAATTACTTGTATGCTAGAGTGTTTAGTTAACTATTCATTCATTTAAATCTAATTTCATGACTTGACTAAAGGAGAAACAGCCAGTTGATTTAATTTGACTCATCATATTAGATACTTTCAATGGAGAGTACTCTAAAGGAAACTATTTTTATTTTTCCTTTTCAAATAAAGCATTTGAGTTACGTACATCTCAATAGCTTATAGAATTATTAATTGTTCTGACTGCTATTTTAAAAGTTAATAAAAAATATCATGATTTGTGTCGTAGAGTTTGGCTGCTTTGGAATAGAATAGAATAAATCATTCGAAAATGCTTATTACTTAGTATAATTAAGCAAGTCACTTCTGTCCAGATGCGGATTGTGAAAAGTAGCAATATTAGCAAAATAAAATCGTTCCGCATGGTTAAAGCTCGGCTGAAATTAATTCACATTCTATGCAAATCGCGCGAAAGCTTTTCTATGTCCGTTGTAATTCGCCCGGTGAAATGGTCCGCGCAGCGTTCACAGTCCAGATGAGATAATCTAATTATAAGATTCAGGAAGCCAAATGTAATGCTGGAATTTGCACACACAATTTTGTACTGTCTCCATGAATATTTAGTAGAGGCCCGAATGCGTTTCAAAACCCGAATGAATATCCAAAACCGGCCGGGGAATTCAAATAAACAAATTTAATTTGCAAAAATTTCATAATCAAAGCATTGATGGATGACGTTTACTACGAGGTTGGATTTAGTTACAAATACTACGCATTTAGTCCTAAGAAATGTTACATTAACTTTCCATAAAGAATCTACTATTTGTGATTTACCTATTTAGATAAAATGTAGGCTTTTAGGATAAGAAAGTTTAGACTCTTGCTAGAAACTTATTAGTACGAGATCCAATTGATATATTCAAAACAAACTTATGATATTTGTAATTGTATTAATTAAAGCGCCCAAATACGATCTTGTATGTCTTAAAAGCGCGGCATATGATTCCAAACTTTAATGATTTTTTATAATTTAACTATTTTTCGTATGATTATGATATTTCAGGATGTTTGTATAGTTTGGCCATAAACTATCTCTATGTCAAGTTTCATTGAAAACACAAATAATTTAACTTTATTTAAATTAAAAAAAAAAAAGAAACGGCTCGGCGAAATGATATCTTCCGAACGGTTCTTGAATTTCAAAAATCGCTTTAGCATTTTTGCGTAAGGTACAATTTTAAGGATTTTTTTTAAGTATACCAAATTTGGTCTCGATTCAGAAGAATTTAAAACGCCAGGAAAACATGAATGTAGCAAGTTAGATTTTCTGACGATAATAAAAATTTGTTCTTTGGGAAGTCAAAACATATTTTTGTTTTCCTGGAATAACTAGAAAAATATGTGTACTTTTAATTAGGCAAACTATTCAGCCCGATTAATATTTTTATACTTTTTGTAGTTCAATATTCCATGCTATCCATATATAGAACAAGGCCGAAACAATTTTCAACTCGTGTATCCCCTATATGCTCAAAATGTTTCTATTTTTACATTCCGTGTATATGATATATATATATATATATATATATATATATATTCATATATACATATATATGCACACTTAATAGAAGCAAATAAAACATGGAGCCCTTATACTAATATTGCCGTTTACATAATTAACTTTCGCGTATTTATTATTACATCAATCTCAAATGCATTTTTCCTTCGAAAACTTTTCTTAGAAGCAACAAGTGTGCTATTTATAGAAGTATTGCATATCAGTTTTAAATCTTAATTATGCACGGTTAGCACATACTTATTAACATAACGCCGAACGATATCGCGATCATCTATTTTCTCGAACGATGTGAAAATCACTCATTCTCGATTTATGAAAATTATGAGTATAACTTTATTTATCATGAAATATTACTTGCATTGATTAAAACGGATGTTGATTAAAATACAAGTACAAAAAATTCTTAAAGACATGTATATTACCAAATTATCTTATATTATTAATATAATTGATTTAAAATGAACAAAATATTCTCTCTCTATATGTACATAATATATATATATATATATATATATATATATACAAATTATTAATTTATTATTGAATGTTAATTGAAATATTAACGTGTTATTGAAATGTGTTTTTTATTCGCGCATTTTCAAACAAAGTTCAATAAAGTTCTCAATAGGATGAGTTATTGATGTAAAACAAAAACAATATTTTATATCTTGACTATCTATGAGTTATCAATGATAAGTTGATGATCACTCGAAATAATTTTACTCACTTCTGTTCATATCATAGAAAATGAATTTCTAACAATTTGCCTTATTGCCTTATAAAACAATTAATTTATCCACTAATATAGAATTTCTTCATTTATTCAGTTTATTTATATGACTCTTTTTATCTTATTATAACTCTGTATTATATATATATATATATATATATATATATAATAACTATTATCGTTTAATTTCTTTGTTAAAAGAATTCGACTGATGTACCGAATAATGTTATTAAATTTTTCAAAAATTTGTTTATATTCTGTACATAATAAGCTCACAGTATATGTTTTCAAGATTATTTTAAGAATAAATTCAAGTCGTTCGACATCAAATCATGATTTGTTCAACAAAGAAATATCTTTAAAGATAACTTTAATATAATATTTTATTAAATTCAATAATACTATATAGTATAATGATTTACTTCTCAAATCTCAATTCTATTTATTGATTGTTTTTTTCTTTCTTTTCAGGTGGTATTGGTATTCATTCTGAGTATAGCCTCGTTGATAATTTACTTTATCGACGCATCCAGGTAATAATTTTTAATTTTCTAGTTTATGTCATTTTATAATTAACTAAAATTTTTGACAAATTAATCTAAGTATTTAGCTATTATCGAAGCTATTATTTTCTCACTCGTTTCTTTCTGTTTTCCAGTGAGGGCGTGGAACGATGTCAGAAGTGGAGCAACAACATAACACAACAAATTGATCTCGCCTTTAATATATTTTTTATGGTCTACTTTTTTATACGAGTAAGTATTACACAAACATTTTACATATTCAAACATACAGTAGCTACTTACTTTAATATAAATTAAGATTATTTCTATTTTACTTAAAGTTTTTAGAAAATTCGATAGAATTTTAGGAAAACATATTTTAGCTTCAAGGGTCCAATTTGATTTTAAGTAATTATGCTGCCTTAAACTCACTGAACTACATCACTACACATATATTAAAAAAACAACTATCGAACTATTATGTTCAGTAAAATGCACAGTTCACTCATAATTAAAGAAATCGGTGTTTTTACTATTTTCTAAAATTTATCACCTGTCCCTTTTTACCCCACAGGCAGGTTAAAATAGAACAGCCAAAGCGCAGATCCCACGTTTTCTTTTTAATTTTAAATGGATTTTACGAAATAATAGCTACATTAATCAACCAATTAAAAATATAAATTTTATGGTTATATTTTTTAAAGAGATAACATTGCATCTAACCTTGATCTGGTACTTCGTCTGAAATATGCAGATCAATTGAAATAGAATCAGAATAACTGTTTATCTAATTTATCTCTTAAAAATAGCTTTTCTTAATTTAATTTTCTTTACTATTTTTCATTGCTTACACTTTCGCCAGGGTAAAGGTTTATGGTCCTTTTTACCCCATTCACGTGTAAGCTTTTATTGGGGTTATATAAAAAAACTGTTCAATCTAACTTTAAAATAACTACATAAATAAAACAATTAAATAACGCATACTTAAAAGTTATATCATGATCTCGTAAACTAAACAACGGTGTTCACAACCAAAAAAATAACAGCAAATGAAAGCACTTTTGTTATGGAGTTTGAAACATTGCCAATTATCTCCTGATAGCGACATCGTAAGAAAAAAGGTGATGACTGGTTATATATCTTTTTCCCTATACTTTCAAATATTGTTGTTAAAAACAATTCTTGACTTTACTGGGTTTTGAGATATTCATGATAGATCGTTTTACCCGCGTACATTTAAGCTCAGCTCTATTCTACATAATATATATATATATATATATATATATATATATATATATCTCGTATATATATATATATAAGTACAAGTATTGAATTACCCATTTATCATTATTTTTCTATATATTTACGTCAAACCGTATTATTTGTCTTGATCATATTTTAATAATCTAAATGGCATCCAGGAAGTAAAATAAATTTACTAATTGCATTGTAATTCGATTCCAAATATTCGATATGTATGGCCTAGATTTTATACCATGGTACGAATATCTCGATCACAATTTCTTTCTACGTTATTTTTGTTTTTATGTTTTTGTGAACATATTGATTGCTCGTTATTCGTTAAAGTAATCTCCAAGTATATTATTGTTTCCTTAGACGTCATATACAACTGACAAAGTTCCCAATAATTTCAATCAATGTTAGTACATAACAAACTTATTTTTATTTTTATGGTGAGAGAAAATGAATAACAATTTTATTATTATTAATGTAGTACTACTAGGAAATTATATTTTTTAACTATTAAATAATCTGATGTTGCTGACTGCATCTGAAATTGAACATTTAAAAAAATTAAATATATCTTAATTTTGGCTTCTCTAATCAAACGAAACAAGAAATATTGACAACTTTGAACGCACCAGTTTATTTATTACATATGTCATAAAATGTTATGAATACTTTAATTGGATTAATACTATTTTCAATGGTCGTTGAATCAATTCTTCAAGTTTCAAACTAATCTAATACCGTATGAAAAAATGTATATTAGTACACAACAAATATAATTGTCTTACATAAATATGCAGAAATCGAATAAATTTCATACCATTCAGTATGTAGATAATAGCAAATTAAAATTCAAAAGTAATATTTTAGCATTATATGAGTAATTATTTTTATGGATATAAAGGGAAGAGCGTTTAAAGGACCGCGGCTAAAAATATCCACCATCAATATCTCAAAAGCAAGAAAAGTATAGAATTTTTAGTTATACTATTTTAAAGTAGAAGGCAAAAGATGTGGAATCATTATCACCTTTATTCTTACGACGTCGCTATCAGGAGATAAACGGAAATGTATCAATAGCAAAAATGTTTTTTTTTTTTTTGGTAGTTTTTTTATTTTTGAGCTCTTATTTAGTTTATGATACCTGAATATAATTTATAGTAATACTTAATTGAAATTTTATCTAAGATGTATTATTATTTTTAAGTTAGATTCATCAGCTTTTTTATACAACCTCTATTCGAGTTTACATGTGGGTGGGGTGAAAAGAACCAACTAAACCCCTACATTGGCAAAGGTGTAAACAATAATAAATATTAAATAAAAAAGTAAATTTAGTTTCAAAAAATAATTTTGCTAAGGATGAATTAAAATAATAGTTATTCGAACTTTGCTGATGAACAGTTCCTTCGGAATACCAGATCAAGGTTATATACAATAAAATATTTCTAAAAAATGTTCATATAAAAATTGTATTTTATTGATTAAATTTGTTGATTAAATATATGTAACTATTATTTGGTGAACTCCATTTCAAATTTAAACTAGTGGTGTATGTCATCGTGCTTTAAGGCAAATTAATACTGTAATAAATAAATACTGTAACATTGTCTAATATTTATGAAAATTATATAAACTGAATTGCAAAGTTTAAAATATTTGTTTGAAGTATATTAGAACTTATGTCAGAATTACAATTAAAATCTGAATTATTTTCGATATACAAGAAAAATTTTTTTTGAAAAAAAAATTGAAAAGAAAAATTGAAACAGTTTTTTGCCAGAAGCAAAGTTTTATGAATTCAAATCGTACGCTTAGTTCTCTCAAAAACTCGGTTGATTCTTGCGTCCAAAAACGTAGACGAAAAACTGTATCCGTACATACATACGCACACATCAATTTTTTCTGAGGTATGCCAAAATGTTCAGAAACCTTCAGAACGTTAAAAAACATAATTCTATAATAAAGAGTTAACTGGGACTTAGAATCAGTGTTAACTGAACATAGTTCGATAGTTGTTTGTTTGATACATGTTATATATTATCATGTAGTTCATTTTGTTTGAACAGTATAATTACTGAAAGTCAAATTGGTCCTTTGTGGTGCGCCCTGCTCTGCTATATATTATATACAAGGTAAAAAAAATGTCTACTGGGTCAATTACCATTATAATATTATACGTATTAATGCAAACTTCGATAGAGATTTTAAAAAGCAATATCAGATTACGCTTTCGGCAATTAATTTATCATAATATATTTTTTCAGAATATATTGTTCTAACACATTTTGCATCATTTTACATTTCAAAGTCACAGCATGCTACAATTTTACATATTTGATACATCCTTCTATATAGTCTTTGCATATAATATCCATAAGCAAAAAAGATCATATATTAAATTACGCACTTTTTTCTGGCGCATAAAAATCGTTCGATACTTTTTATGGAAGGAAATCTATTTATAGAATGATGTATAACTTCGATATATTCTCTTTTAGCATTTTTTCCTCTTGCTACTGTAGATAAGACCGGTCGTGTTAAAACAGATTTGTGATTTTGCTTACAAAGCGGAGATTTTTTATTACAATCCCTCGTACGATATTGTACTGAGAGCAATTCCGTTTCGGTATCTCGTATGGACAAATTCCATATTATACTTTTTACCAGGGTATGAGTGTGCATTTTGTACAAAGAGATCTGTATTATATAGGCACTCGGTGCTTTTATTTGCCGAAACGATTCTGCAAGTTACTAGTTTGCGAGAGTTATGAATGCAATATTTTTGATAAAAGTTACTGCTGCAGTCACTATATGTCGTACTTGTGAAATTCAAGTAAAAGTTCGAGTTTTCTATGCTCTATCTATCTGCAAGAAATCACACTAAAAAGAATACTGTGACTCTTACCAATGTTATTTATCGATTTAGTGACTCTTACCAATGTTATTTATCGATTTAGTGTATTAAACCAATATTTAATTGAACTAGTAAAAAATGGTATGGGAGACAGGGTACGGTTGTGCCAGGGTACGGTTGTCCCAGGGTACGGTCTAACAGCTAAACTATACTGATTTTGAGAAAGGGTCTAAAGGGAGAAATATGTAGTATGTTTGTCTGTGCCACACATTAACATTGATTTTAAAAAGTCTTTTGTTGTTCAATTTCTTTTAATAATAATTGTTACTTGTATACAGAATACTTTGCTATTTTGCTGTAAGTTAAACATTAGAAGTTAATTACCAGCAATTTATTTTTGCGTAAATAATTTAGCTTGATTATAATGGCCTCCAAAAGTGTACGTTGGGTACGATTCTGACAGATTTTGTGGGTACGGTTGCCGTATTCAGGTGATGATTAAACATACAAAAAATTAGCTTAACTAATTATAAGACAAATATACGAAAGATAAAGGGAAAAGAATATTCAATACAAGAAATAAATTTCACAAAGATTTCTTGTTAACTTAGTTTAAAAAATTATGTTTTGTTATTTTATATTTACAAGCTTTGTTTAAATGGTTTTGTTGTGCTGTGTTACATATTTTGACAATTAAGTCGTTGTAAACAATTGTTTTTCAATTTATTTTTATGCCTGTCACAACCGTCCTGGCGGACTTTTGACCTTTTCTTGTACGATTCGATTTTATGACTAATCTATCGTTTTCAAGGATAGTATTTCAGAATGTCTACATGGACAAACGTTCAGATTACCATTAAATTTACTTTTTTCCCATCTATCTTCATAATAACAAAGTTATTGCTGATCCCAAAAAAATGGAATAACCATCTTCACTTTACTTCACATTACCTTCAAAAATATTATACACATTATTATATTTGAATATTATTTTTTTCAGTTTTTATTTTCTCACACGGCTGGTATATGCTATCCAATGTAGTTTTTACTATCGAACACGAATTAAAAGTCAAAATTGGGGGTCATATAGCCAAAAACTGACAAATTCAATAAAAGACGACAAAATCTTCGAACTAGTAATTCTTCTGCATAATAATTAAAATCTTATATCATCTGCCGTTTCCTAGCCCTTTTTATCTTAAATAAATATTGAGTATTCACTTAAATTATCTAATGATTTTTTTTGTATAATTCATCACTTTTAGGCATCGCTCTTCAAATTGTCAATTTAGCTCATAGGAATCTTTATGTATTTGTGATTGCTAAATAAAACAGAGTTGAAAAAATAAAAAACTTGACTTCATAAAATATATATTTATATCTATAGATCCGTGTTTAGAGGTAAACCATACACTGGATATCATATGCCGCACACCCTATACAAACAACTTTTATTATTTAGTGGGCCTTCGATTAAAATTTTCAAAGTATATTGAAAGAATGAATTGAATTATATAAATATTTTTAATATAACTTATTTATGATGTGGCTGATAGTTTGTATCTGAAAAACATATTTTCAGTTTCATTATTAAAATACAATAAATATAATCAAACTTGCGGTAACTTTTATTTAATAAATGATGCAGAAGTACATATTTTATTTCAACACAGCTATGTTTAAAATTCTTAGTCATTTTACAAATCGTGCCGAGTACATAAAATATGATTAAGTAGTTATAACTTGGCTTAATAAAATTATGATAATTCCCAAGTGATATTAGCAGCTACAGCTACTAGTGGTAAATAGTTGTAGTTACATTTTAATGCCTATGATTGAGTTTAATGTGTGTTTTACGACTTTTCCACAGTTTATAGCAGCTAGCGACAAATTGTGGTTCATGCTGGAGATGTATTCGTTCGTCGATTATTTTACGATACCGCCCTCATTCGTCTCCATTTATCTGGATCGCACATGGATTGGTAAGTTATTGCTAGATTCTGGAAATTTAACATTGATTTAAATGCAGACTCACACGATTATTTATAGAAGCTTATATTTTCTAATCATAGCAAACTCATTTGATGCCGCAGTTCATTATTAGCGATATCATTTCATTTTATAAAAATTAAACACACTCATAAATATTTATATAATTAACAGGATTTTGGCATATATGTAAGGATAATGTATATGATTATTTATGCAAGTTAGAACTTTTTTTTTAAATTTTTATACAAATATTCAATTTTTTTGAAAATATCAGTATATTTTCAATATCATACATTTTTTGTGATATGCATAAATGAAATATTATTAAAAAAAATTAATAGGAATGTTAAGAATTTTTTAACAACAATATTTGAAACTAGAGGTAATAAGATGTATAGCCCGATGAAGCCATCACCTTGATTCTTACGACGTGTCTAACGGAACATAAACGGCAATGTTTTTAAATCCATAAGAAGGGTATATTTTTTGTTCGTTAGTTTTTTTGGTTATGAACTCTGTTGTTTATTGAACTAGACCTTTGATTAATTTTGAAGTTTACGTTATTTGTTTTATAAGAAGTATTGGTCATTTTAAGTTAGAATCATTTTTTTTATATAACCTCGATAAAAGCTGACACGTGGGTGGGGTAAAGAGGTCCAACTGAACCTATACCCTACTGGCAAAGGTGTACACAGTAAAAAAGGCAATAAAGTTACAAAAAGCAATAACTAAATAAATTGCAACTCTGTTGATGAATATTTCTGACGAAATACCAAACCTAGGTTATATACTATTATCACTGCCAAAACTGTACCCTAAAAATCCCTATAAAATAAAAAATAAAACCTCTGTTTTACCCCCTTGCTGTCCCATTTTCCCCATGTCGTCATGGAGTGAAATGGACAAAGTGACAATTTGTTGAAAACCAGTGAAAACACTTTTCTACAATGATTAATTAGAGTTTTACTTATTATAGTCAAATAGTTTTTTGGTGGTTATTGTTGTGATATAATTCAATTTGACAATACATTTGCTAAAAGTCAAATTGGACGTTTGTGCCTCGTCTTAATAATCGTAGTGTTATTTTGAAATGCAATATATTATTAGAATGTACATTTCTCTTGAACTTTTTTTTGATAATCATTTTTTTTCGGTTTTAAACTATTTATTATATCTGAAAGTTCTGTTCATTTCTGTTGCTTTTGTTAATTGATAAATTAAACGATCAAGTTTATTATATTTAAAATTTATTTTTTTATTTTACTATCATTCTTGATCTTATAGAATATCTATCTAGTGTGAAATAATGGAATATCGTTCACATTTGCACTCAATACAATATCCCAAGCACACCATTGATAATAATATCGTAATTGTTATGAATTATCAATCGTTTCTGGCTCGGCTTTCATTGTACGTTTCTGAGAATCAATTTTTCCCTTTTGGTTTTTCCTTTTATATTTTTTCTCATTTTCAACTTTTGCAAATGCCATTTGTCTGCGTTAGCTTACGCTGTAATGATTCCGATATAGAGTATTGATTTTGTTCGAACTGGCTCTGTTCAGAGTCGAGGAACGCTAAAGTGCTATAATAAATATGCAGATCCGATATAAAATTGAAATTTTCCGAGCAGCGAGACGTTAGTAATTTATTGCAAAGAAATAACGAGCTCTTTAAAAAGTTTAAGACAAGATTAATGTTATTGTGCATGTATGTAATATACGAAATATATCTTATATCACATACGTATACATATTTGTATATAAATAAATACAGGGTGTTTCATGTCGTAATGGTCTAACCCACGGACTCGTTGTGGACGTAAGTTCGAACCTTGCTAGATTCGTATCAAAGTATTTTTTTCTTTTAATATAAAATAACTTTTTTAATAATTATATTTTATTAATGTAATTTTTTATTTTGCTCAAATTTCTTTCTGCCACCTTTCTTTGAGCTGCTTAATGGGCTTTTGCTGCTTCTCGGCCCAGGAAATTTTTGGTTCAGAACAGCAAATAACTGATTCAAGTGCGAGTTAAGGTGATCTTTATTCATCACAGTTTTGCATTTTGCAAGCTTTGAAACAAATGATAATTAGATGGTACTAGGTCAGAGCAGTTTAGGGATATATTTATATTACGGATACAGGATTAAATTCACATTAACAGAAAATAAATTATCTTAATTGAATTAATTCCAGTAAAATTCAACTATTAAACAAATATTAAGCCTAACATTAGTATTATCTAATACAATAACTTGAAGAAAAAAATGTTATAAAATTAAAATAGTTTATTTCAGGCTTGTAGATCTTGATGTGCACTTTCTCATTTATAATATTTTTCTCAGTACTTAACCTAGTTTCTTTAATTAATTATTATTAATTACTGCTGAATAATTTTATTAACACAACATCTATTTCCACAAAATACAATTATGGCATCAAGGTATGTGCTAGTTCAATGTATTTGTATAATGATCGTTTCCGAACCATGTTCTTGTTCTCGGTTATGAAAAATGGGGCTTTTTCATAACCAGTGATGACTATTTTTTTAAATAAAAATAGATATATAATTTTGTGTAACCGTTAGTTGATTTATTGTTCTAAATGGAATTGCAACAGTTGATTCATTGTTCTAAATGTAACCTAAATTTGTAGGATACCCAACTATTAACTTTTTTCAATAACCCAAAACACTTTAAATTTTATTCAATTGTTGTGATCGATACATGTAGCATTTTCGCCATCTCTCTACTATTTACATTTACAATTATGACTTTGATTTGGTCATCATCGTCAATATGCCGAACAGAACTGTGCTCATATTTGAGGCAAAAATCTTTAGAACGGAGATTTTTATACCAATTATGTTAAACATGTGCGTTTTTTTAAGCAGTCATCATCATAAACTTTTTCACTCACACTCATTTACATTTACATTTACGTTTTACTGTGTGTGAGCCATAATTTTTTTTTGCCAAATCAAATAACTTTAAATGCTGAAAATGTTCGTTTTTGTACTCCATTTAAATATGACCCACTACTAATACAATTCATATAAATTTACATGAATATGACCAGTATTTTGCGACAAATTGCAAAGTAAAGCAATAACATAAATTATACTAGTAGCAAAGTTTTTCCTACGCTTAAGGGGGGAGCCTGCTTTTGGGGCTTAAAAAATCGATTTTCTGAGTTACAAAAGAAATAGTTAGCAAGCGTCAAACATGTATATGAGCGAAACGAAAACTTTGACGATTGATTTCTCGGTTTTTAGTTTTCTCGATTTTTCCTAATTGGCGGGAAAGATAAGGAAAAAACCTGAACGCCCTATCGAAACGAGACAAAACTGATTCTACTCAGGATTAAATTCTCTTCTAGTTGAACCTAACAAAAATTAAAAAAAGTCATAATTAACTAACTTTTTAAATAATCTAATGTGAATTTTTTATCAAAAAACATGATTTTTTTAAATTGCGAAAATTTGGTGAATTTCCCACTTTTTTCTGGATTTTTTAGGTTCAACCAGAAACTATACTATTGAAAACATAGATTTGTTTTGTTTTTGTTTTTCTTTTATTTCGGATGGCAATTTTGACCTGCACCTTTCCCGCCAAATGACACCTGCACGCTTGTGGCACCATATATTTTAATGAAAAAAACCTGAAAATTTCATTTCAATAAAATATTTATTTCCTTCCCTAAAAATTTCTCAAAATAAGCGATTTTTTGAAGCCTCTAAAGCAGGATCCCTTCTTAAAAAAACAAAAGCACCAACCCGATATTGTGATGCATGTCTATTTACGATTTTATTTCATAGAGATATCAAAATAAACATCCATGACTTAAACTCAACACATCGTTGTTTTAAACGTTCTATTAATAAATAATTTATATATCATTGTATCAGAACTTTACCCTGTAATTAAATATATATTATATATAAATTAGATAATGCAAATAAACTGTACCAAACTGGTGCCATGCGGGGCAGGGACATGTCAAAAAGCACCGGCTGTAAACTGATTTACTGATTTATTACAATTTGATTTCACTCTCACGCCTTTTTATTTGTTTTGCATCAGCTGGATGATAAATCACAGGCGGTGGAAAGGATCGCTGAACTTTCCATCAATTGTTTTTTTTATGAATTATCATTCATTCATTATTCAATTCTATTCAGATTCTGATACTGAATAGAATTTAAATAATCTGGATGTATTATTCAATTGATACGTTCATTATTAGACTACTATTCGTGTTTTTATCATCTGAGGATAGAGGATTTAATGAAAGTGCTAGATAAAAATAATTATATTTTTGGTATAAGTATAGTTTAGGGTTGTGATAATTTATAATTATTTAGTAAAATGTCACTCATTGACTCTATTAAATCGATTTTAATTTATATAATTCCACCCACATTCATTCATATTTGTTTGAATATAGACTATTAGCTAATAAATGCTAAAACGCAATCTCTTATTAATATGTAATGGCAAAATATTCTGAACATAGTATTGCATTAAGAATGTTTGATTTATTTATTTTAATTAATTAATTATAAGTAAATTATGCTATTAATTTTTTAGAATAAATAGCATAATTTGATAGAAAAAATTTATATTATCTTCAATCAGAGCTTCGTTACTGGGGTGTTAACACCTGAACGTTGTTAGTTTCTGACATTATAAGATTCTACGTCTACACTGTACAGCAACTTGGTATAATTATAAATCATTCATAAATTAATATATTGAAATCTTATCGACTATGCTGAGTATTTACATATGTGGATAAGTTTAGAACTTTGATTCATTACCAGGTATTTACACCTGAAAGTTGCATATAATTTGATTATTTATTTTGAATAGAAAACTACTGTATTTAATATTAGTAATTTTACTTTCCAACTCCCATATGTATATTTTATTTTATTAATTGATTATTTATTACAGGTCTTCGTTTCTGCAGAGCTCTTCGCCTGATGACAGTTCCCGACATCCTGCAATACCTGAATATATTAAAAACGTCCAGTAGCATACGACTTGCTCAACTAGTCTCCATTTTCATATCCGTTTGGTTGACAGCTGCAGGAATCATACATCTGGTATGATAAATAATCATAAGAAATATTTCAAAATGATGTTTGATTTAATAATGCAATGAGATACAATTTTGAAGCAATTTCATGTCTATAAAATTTTTGAATAATTATCGCATTATTATGTTTATCTCTTCTAAGTATGAATTTCTCAGTAAACACCGAGCGGCAGTAGCAATCTGAAATCCACATTGATTATATATGGGTGTCACAGCGCTGAAGGAACGCTTGTGGATTTCAGGTTGCTGCCGACGTTCACATCACACGGTGTTTACTGTGAATTGTTATGCATATATTTTACCATTTACTAGTAGGAACTCCTGTTGGTGATCAATATATATATATATATATATATATATATATATACGAGGTGTGTTCAAAAAGTACCCGGAATTACTAATAATTAAATTTCGCGGGTCTGGAGTGTCTGATTGTCAAAATTTTTTTTTTATTGAGTTGGTATACATGCCCCTAAAGTATGATGAAATTTTCAGCTATATTCACTGTTTACTTTGTCTGTGGTAGTCGCTAAGGTTCGACGTGTTTTTCTGAGCTCGGCGATTTTTACAATGGAAGAATTGAAAAGTCAAAGAATTTGTATTAAATTTTGCGTAAAAAATGAAATAAAGTGTTGCAAAGTGCAAAAATTCACCAGATATGGCTCCGTGTGACTTTTTCCTATTCCCAAAGTTGAAGGGACCCATGAAAGGACGGCGGTTTTCCTCGATTGAAGAAAATCGCTGAGAGTGCTCAAGGACATATCAAAAAGTGAATATCAAGGGTGCTTCGAAAATTGGAAAAAACGCTGGCATAAGTGTATTATATCTGGGGGGGACTACTTTGAAGGGGACCACATTAATGTAGACGAATAAATAAATATTTTTTTGAAAAAACGAAAATTCCGGGTACTTTTTGAACAGACCTCGTATATATATATATATATATATATATATATATTGCTTAATTATATTTATAGTTGGAAAATTCCGGCGATCCGTTCGAGTTTAGTAATCCCCAGCAATTATCTTATTGGACATGCGTCTACTTCTTGATCGTCACCATGTCGACGGTAGGGTATGGTGACGTCTACTGTCAGACTGTACTGGGCCGAACGTTCCTGGTCTTTTTCTTACTTGTCGGATTGGTGAGTTTTAGGAAAATTTATTCAAAACTTAAAATAATAAAACAATTCTAATAATCAAGCATTCACATCTACGAAAAATATAATGGATAGGTATAGAAATGAAAAGAACGAACAATAGTGATATCACTATTTTTACATTTTGTGAATTTAAATCGAATTTTAATCACTAGTTTTTTTATTGAGTATTTAAAAAACAGAATAAAATTTTGTATCCTCATTTTAATTTAAAAATTAATTTTTTACTTTCTCATTGAAGAAATTATACTCCGTAGCTTTTAACTTTATTATTGACCTATGACCTATATAAGTTATAAAAATCTATTTTCAATAATTTTTCATTATTCATATATAAATGACAATTAATCTATAATTCATTTGATATATTTTGCCGTCGTTTAAATTATTAGAATTTTTTTTAATTTAATTGTGATTTTCATCATATGCAAATTCTTACAATATCGATCGATCCAATACGCGACGTTCTCGCAATTTAATATAATCTCAATAATATCCCATCTCTGTTCGATGGGATTTAAATATTTTATTTATCCATACTCATATTTAAGGATTGATAGTTAAATATATAGTCTGAACAGAATCCGTTGATAAAATTCTAATTGAATCCTGCAGAAATAATTCGTTTTAAATGCAGATATAATACCGTATAGAAGTTATATGATCACAGAAGATTTTAAAATTGTTATTTCTACTTTGTTATATTTTCACAACATTAAAAAATAGCTTAATTGAAATCTTTTGTGATAATATTTATAATTTTACAAAGTTTATAAATTGCTTGCATGAATGAAAATATTTCTTAGAAGTGATGATATAAAAGCTTCTAAAAAGTATTTTGCTGACCTATGAATTGAAATATCTCTACAATTTATGATAATAGTAGAGTCATTTATATCATAATTTGCTAAAGGAAATGTTTTCATATCAATATATATATACATATATATATATATATATATATATGTATATATATATATATATGTATACGTCGAGACAAAATTATAATATATTTATTAAAAATCAACAATTTTTGAAAATTGGTCACTATATTCTCGACAAACATTTTACTACCTCATAAAAATCATTCATTTAGTATCTACTGTACCATAATTTCCAGTCATATGATTTTTTCATATATTTCCACATGTAGGGCTGATATTAAAAAGTTAAGGAAAAATATTATCTTTTCCTGCCTCTTACATAATCCTGCTACAAATACCCAAATCATCTTTAAGCTATATTTTTCCTTGAAAAAGCTTCGACAGACCCTGCTGATTGCGCACTCCGCTATGAAAATTTTTGCAATAATATTTCCTAGTTGAAATATATGGTAAAATTGAATATTAATTTATTTAGTATCTAAAATTTAAAATTCTATTAGATTAAATAATAAAATATTAACTTCTAATCGAAAATTTCGTATAGTTTCCGAAGCTAAAAAATAGTAGTATGATGTTTATTTTATTATTGATGTTTTATAGAGTAATGTAGTGATTCTAAACATTTTTAATTACAGATTAGAATAATAGATTATATTTGATTATTTAGTAGTAGTAGTTTAGTATAGTTTTGTTTAGTAAAAATTTATATGAAAAATTGCAAAAGTTTTCATTTGCAAAATTAACGTAAAGTGGCTTATAATCTTTATTTAAATCATTAATTCAAAATGAATAAAAATCATTTTCTAAAACGAATGCCAAATATGGCCGAGATAAAATACATTTCCATTAATTTGCCCATATATCATTAACGAAATAGAATTCGAAAATTCAATTACGAAATGATTTTATCGTGGGCCAGAATAAATCGTCTCGCAAATTCGTGTGCCTTTCGGTTCATGGAAAATACTGTTTGCGTGTCTCTTCCACACCCTTTTGAGACATAATGAATTATTGGTCAATGTATGCATAGACTACTATATAAATAGACCTGAATATCATTTCTGATAGTACAGAAATAGAAAAAGGTGTAGACTTTTATGTGTGACGTTATATTGGGTTACAAAAGCCATAAAAATTGTTATTGTTTTAACTTAAACTTTTATTGTTTAACTCGTATTGAACGAACTTACAAAAATAACCAATAAAGTTTAGTAAAATTTATAGGAGAGATTTCTTAATTTCGCTTATTTATGCCTACGAAATTATTAATCAATATATTTGAAATATTTATGATTTGGCAAAGCGCGATCAAAGCTTTACTTAG